TTTGCCTACAATGCCTCTTTTTACCTCCCACCTCCCATATCCACCTTGCCCTCCCTGGGGAGGTGGAGTCACCCTCTGGCTGAAGTGCCCAGGTCCTGCCCTCTCCCCTGATGCAGAAGGAACCAGAGCGGAAAGCCTGGAGTGGCGAGGCCAGTGAAGAGGCCGGCACAGCGATGCCTGAGGAGACGGCGAAGCCAGGAAGGGGAGCAGAGAAGTACCTGTGCAAGGGAGGAGGCAGTAGGCATGGTTCCCATGCAGGTGGTTCAGTCAGAGAACCGAGTCAAGGAAGAGTCCAAGGTTCCCAATCATCGAGGGTGGGCCCTGGGGATGGCAGAATCACCTGGAAGGCTCTTAGGTTCTCCTGAACCTGAGACAAGGATCCAAGTATAAGGGGCTTATGTTGGAGGCAATCCTGTGAAATGTCAGTGGAGAGGGGACAGTAACACAGGGAAAGTGGGAAGTCGGTGGCCACAGGAGACAGCGGGAACTTGATGCTTCTCCCACAGGGAATTTTGAACAGGTGCAAAGCACCTGCCACCTGTGAACCAAGAGCCAGGCCTGAATGTGACTCTTGCTCGATGTTGCTGAACATAGCTCCTGGTGGTGTCAATTGTCAGCACTCCCTGCTGGCCCCAAGGAACCCAAGAAAGCCTTCAGGCAGAAGTCGTGGCCCTGGGATGGAGGTGGGATTGACGGGCGCCCAACAACGAGGTCAGGGGCTACAACCTTGGCCATACCCGAGACAGGGGAGCTGGAAGCAGGAGAATGGGAGCCAGTGTCCAGGGCAGACATGGAGTTTGGTTCCAGACACGTTCCAGGGTGGGCTCCAGACCCAATGGGAGAGACAGGTCACTGAATGGAATAGGACTGATAATTTAAGCTAAGGTAATGGATGGAAAAATCCTAGAAAGAGAGAAGGATAGAAGGCTGAGAGCTACTGCATGAACAAAGGCAAACCGGGCACAGTGGCTCAAGCCTGTAATCCCAGCACTTTGGTAGGTTGAGGCCGGAGTATGCCTGAGTCCAGGGGTTCGAAACCAGCCTGGGCAACTTGGTGAGATCTCGTATCTATAATAAACAAAAAATTAGCCAGTTGTGGCGACATACACCAGTAGTTCTGGCTACTTATAAGACAGGTAGAAGGATTGCCTGAGCCCAATAGGTCGAGGCTATGGTGGCCATGAGCATGCCACTGCACGCCAGCCGGGGTGACAGAGTGAGACTCCCACTCAAAAAAAAAAAAAAAAAGACAAACAGCCAAGTTCATGATTTGGCTTAGACTGACTTTCCAGGAAGAGAAGTGTTTTGTTTTGTTTTTTCCCCACAACACTTGCCACTACCATTCAAAGTTGCCACAGGAGGAACAGAAGGCCCAGCATTCTTGAGAATGTCCCAGGTACAGAACAGCTGATATGAGATAAATAATTTTGACCCCAAAACTGTTCTAACTTCTGTGACCTCAACACTCGAGACCCAGAAAAGCCAGTCCATCCTCTGCCAAAGTTTCTTCCATCTCTGAAGCTGTGGACCAAACCTCCTCTGATCTGTTTTCACCAACGTATCTTCTGGAAAGATTCAGGGAACAAGCGTCTAAGGAGAGAGATCATTTGGCACCTTCTTTGGGGGATGAGGTTGACAACAGAGGAATCAGGAAGGTTAAGGCCATGACAACAGCTACTGGGAAAGGTCAGGAAGGGCTGGCTTTGCTGGGCACCCCCCACAGACAGCGCATGCACTGCTGTGCTGCCTTAAACGCCAACCGCAGGGAAGTGCGACGTGACGTCACTCCACTGGGTATTTCAGGCCACCCCCTGTGGTCTCTCTGGGGTTCTCTTTCCTGAACCTCTGCTTGGGGAAAAGACCCAAGTGGCAGGAGGTATCACACCTACAGGCACCTCCAGCTGAGTCTATTTATGGGTGAACCAGACTCACCTGGAAGGATTCTGCCGTGCTGGCTGGGCTCGGAGTGGGTATTCTGGGAGGGGTGTGTTCTCATCTGAGCGGAGGGGAAAGGCTGCCAGGAGGCAGTGACCCCGAACATTGAACTGAATGATGCCATTAGGAGGGGGACTTCCATCCCACCAGCAAGCCTAATTCACTAGCTTGGAAAAAGCCAAGTGGGACAGTGATTAGGGGCTGGGTACTTGAATCCTGCATGACTCAGAGAAAGTTGCATAACCTCTCTGTGCCTTGGTTTCCCCATCAATAAAATAAGGGATAATAAGAGTTCTAACTTCTTAGAGTTGCTTCTTGTTTTTTGCTTTTTTTTTTTTTTTTTGAGTTGGGGGTCTCACTCTGTTGCCCAGGCTGTAGTGGCACAATTAAGGCTCCATAGCCTCAACCCCCTGGGCTCAGGCAATCCTTCTGCCTCAGCCTCCTAAGTAGCTGGATCTACAGATGTGCACCACCACACCTGGTTAATTTTCTTTCTTTCTTTTTTTTTTTTGGAGAGACAAAGTCTCACTATGTTGCCCAAGTTGGTCTTGAACTCCTGGGCTCAACCAGTCCTCCCTCCTCAGCCTCCCAAAGTGCTGGGATTAAAGTATAAGCCTCTGCACCCAACCTAGAGTTGTTGGTGGAACAGTTCCTAGCACACTAATGAGGACTTTATACCTGTTACCCATCCTAGCTACTTGGATCAGAAACATCAGACAAAGATGACTCACAGTTGCTTGGAAAGTAAGCTGCTTTCAAAACTTCTTTTTTTTTTTTTTCAAGTTGGAGTCTCACTCTGTCACCCAGGTAGTGGCTCACTCACGGCTGTTCCAGTATGAACCTGCTGGGCTCAGGCAATCCTTCCACCTCAGCCTTCCAAGTAGCTGGAACTACAGGCACACGCCACCATGCCTGGCTAATTTTTTGATTTATTGCAGAGACAAGGTCTTGTCAAGTTGCCCAGGCTGGTCTTGAACCCCTGGGCTCAAGCAATCCTCTCACCTCAGCATCACAAAATGCTGGGATTACAGGCGTGAGCCGCTGCGTCCTACCAAAATCTCATTTCTAAACCATCTGAACTGATGTCATTAGACATCCATAACCTCTGATGCACACTGGTCAAAGTGAGAAGTAACACGAAGACCCGCTCTCTCTTCCCTCTCACTCAAAGAGACATCAGTGTGAACATCAGACAGACTGAGAGTGCAGTTCAAGATCAGGAGCGTGGGGCTCAAGAGTCACGTGGTGGCCAGGCACAGTGGCTCACACCTATAACCCCAGCACTTTGGGAGGCCGAGGCAGGAGGATTGCTTGAGTCTAGTACTTTGAGACCAGCCTGGGCAACATAGCAAGACCTCGTCTCTACAAAGAAATTAATTAAAAAAAAAAAAAGTCGGCTAGGGCACAGTGAAATCTCATCTCTACAATAAATGAAAAAAATTAGTCATGTGTGGTGGTGTGTGCCTGTAGTTCCAGCTACTTGGAAGGCTGAGGCGGAAGGATCGCCTGAGCCCAGCAGGTCAAGGCTGTGGTGGCCGTGAGCATGCCTCTGCCCTCCAATCTGGGCAACAGAGTGAGATTCTGACTAAAAAAAAAAAAAAAAGAAGAGTCATACAGATCTCTATGACTGATGTTCTCAGGTAGGATGCTTGGGTTTTCTGGGTCTCTGTGTTCTCACCTAAAAAATGGGGATAATAGTAGTACTGGCCTCATGGTGATTTACAAGCTAAACTCAGATCGTAAATGGTTCTCTGGGAAAGGGAATGGCATGAGGCCCTTCCTGGAAGCCTGAGGCAGTGGAGCCCCGGCAGGTTGTGTGGGCAGGACCCGCAGGGGAGAGGACCTTCCATGCCACTTAAGGTAACAATAGGACTCCGGTGGATGCCTCCTTTGCACTCTCTGAAGTGGGGAGAACATAATGACACAACCCTTGGGGAGGGGCACCCTGGAAAGCTGGGCCCCTTGTCAGGCCCCTCGAACCTTGTAAGAGGAGCTCCTGAAGGCACTTTTAAAAAATTTTTTTTGAGTTAGAGTCTCACTCTGTCCCCCAGGCTGGAGTGAGGTGGCATGCTCATGGCCACCACAGCCTCAGCCTACTGGGCTTAGGTGATCCTTCCACCTCAGCCTTCCAAGTGCCTGGAACTACAGGTGCACGCTACCACGCCTGGCTAATTTTTTGACTTATTGTAGAGATGAGGTCTCGCCAAGATGCCCAGGCTGGTCTCGAGCCCCTGGGCTCAGGCAATCCTCTCGCCTCGGCTTCCCAAGTGCTGAGATTACAGACTTGAGCCATCATACTCAGCCTGAAGGCTCTTTTCCAGGATGGCATCAGGAATTGAGGTTTGAAGCCGAGATTTGGGGCAGGATGGAGGGCTCACCCCCTACTCAGGAATCCAAATGAGCCAGTGCACTACACACACACTCACACATGCACCCCCCACACACATACATGCACTATAACACATATGTACACACACATGCACACACTGGCCCCAGGCTCCGACACTTTAGCTTAGACCTTCTGGAAATGTCACTAGAGAAAGTCCTTTAATGTGGAATTCCAGGCAGAGGAATGACTGGGGGGTGGGGAGCAATGCTTAGACACTCACCCTCAGCTTACATAAATATATCAGGGCCTGTTCCACACTCAGGAAGAAGTTCTGCTGTGAAAAACAGTTTCTGCAAAATGGTTCAAGTGCTTGGGCTACCCATGAACACCTCTGAGCACTAAAGCACCCTGAGCAAAAAGGAAGTCCACCTCTCCCTCTGCCAGCCCTTGAGACCATGTCCCTACCCCATCAGTAAGACGCCTTTGGGACCCTCAAGAAAACACAGGGCTTTGTGGTGGTTTATTTTTTGGTCTGGTGTTTTTGAAAAGGATTATTTCTCACGCACTGAGACAAATCAGTTTCGAAAGAAAAAGCATACAATGTTGTCTTTATTTTACCGTGGAGATTTTGTGCTCAAAGGTAAGGAATCGCCTTGTATAAAACAACCAAATAAATAAATAAATAAATAAAAATAGGAGTCGCTTCACAGGGGATCCCGGGGTGGCGAGAGCACCCCCTGTGGAATCAGAAGTAGGTGTCTGCCGCTGGGACCTCCTCCTAATGCCTCCTCAGCACTGCCGGAGAAGAGAAAGGGGGTGACGGTTAGGGTGGGGGGCAGGAGCTGAGGTCCCATCACCACGCACCACCCGGCCACGCCCCACCCTGGTCATCAGTGAACTCGGTGTTTGAAGCTTTGAAATCATCCATCTCTCTGGGCTTCAGTTTCTTCGTCTGTGCGCTGGGGATTGTCATCGCCCTGGTGTTCCTGCTCCCCCGCTTTGAGGTTCTAGGCGCTTTAAGGAAACTGGGAAGAAGGTGTTTCGGACTCCTTCTTCCCCAAGGAGGGACTGCCAGATGATGAAAAGACCCTAAGGAGATTCTGCCCCTTTGATGGGAGAGGCGGGGGTGGGTAGAAGGTGGTTGGGACTCATGGGCACCGTGAGAAACAGGCTCCTCACACAGGAGTTCCACGAAGACAGTCCTTGGCCCTGAAGACTGCCAGGCGTAATGTTCAGGCATCCTTCCTTCAGAGAGTGCGGTCCCCAGAGACAACCAACCCCGAGGTGACGAACAGCAGGACACGTGGGAACGGGGTGGTATGCCAGGTGGCACGGGGCGGGGGCAGGGTGGGCTCACCATTGCAACCCAGGCCGCTGTGGTAGCCGATCCGGTCCAGCCTCTGCCCAAAGCAGCCTGAGTCCCGCATCATCTTGGGGCTGTGCGGTCCCTGTGGGGCCTGGTGGGCATTTTCTTGGGGTGCAAGGGCAATCTTGAGGTCAGTCTCCTCGGCCTCCCCGGCTTCTGCAGGGCCATGGCTCTGCTGGAGGGGTCCTGGGGCCACCTGCCCTGCCTGTAGCTCTGGCACTTTGTCCGGCAGTCGGTCCAGCAGCTCCTGCAATGGATGGGGGAGCCCGAGCCTCAGAAACCCGCACCTCAGCTCCCTCGCCCTCGACGGCACCCAAGCGAACCCATCCTTGGAAGCAGGGTCCTGGCATCCAGCCACTCCTTTCCCTTACCACTCATTCCCAAGGGAAAGTAGGGATCTCTTGGGCCCCAAGCCCTCCCAGCTGGCCACTCTTTGAAGTCCCTCAGCACTCACCTCTATCCCGGACAGCTGCGGGGTAGGGCTCGTGACATCCAGAGGGTGGGAACGACCTCCCAACGGCGACAGGTGCAAGAAGAGGAGGAACAGGAGCACCTGGTGCAGCGACGTCTGGAGGCTCATGGCTAGAGGCCCGGGAGAAGGCGGTTGACACTGCTGCTGCTGCTTGGTCCACCTCCTAGCCGCTCTCGGGCACTCTCGTGGCTCCTCCGGCCACCGCGGGCCTTTTATCCCCAAGCCGGGTGTCCCCTGCCCTGCAGGGTTATCTCTGATTTATCAGCCACATTCCAGCAGCTGAGCTCAGGGCAGGGGAATGCACCCCTCCGCGCTGCCGCGAGCGCTCTGGGAGGGGGGAGACGGGGAGCGCAGGCCTTGTATAGCCATGGGCCGGGCCGGGGGCGGGGGCGGGGGACACCAGACGTCCCTGTCTCCCGCTTCCTCGTTTTCTGCAAAACTCTGGGGCCTTGGCGTGGTGCGCTCCCCTTCCCTCCCCACCCCGACCGCTGCTGAGAAGGGCCGGGGGACCCCAGCGCTCCGAGGCCCGACCCGAGCGCGGGGCGCACCGGGTGACTCAGGGCCAGAACAGCCCCAGCAACCTCCCACCTCGCCCGGCGAGTCTCCCTCCCTGAGCGAGGTCCCTCGCCCGCTGGTCACTCGGAACCCGCCTGACTTCCTGCGCCCTCCGGGTCTCCCGGGCGCCCTGACCACTGTCCGTGGTGCTGATTGCACGGATGAACTTCACAAGCTCTCAAGGGCTGTTCTGCTCAACCAGATTCCCAGGTCAGAAGACCTGCGTGAGGGAGGGCAGGAGACCTCCGAGACTCCTCCCCACTTTCTCTCAACCCTCATTCCCATGAGCCTTACAGCACTGGGATGCTGGTTCTCCAATGTCAACTCATTGACAGCCAGGGTGTGACAAGGAATTTCTGGAATGCCCTTCTCCCATTCCTTAAAGGGAAGAGCAGATTTGGTAGGAATTTTGAGAGACAAGACCCAGAGATGAAGTCATCCAGGAATCCTCTGTGTATGCTTTCCAGATGCCAGCACCTGCTCTCTCCCACAAGCCAACACAGGAAGGAAGAAAAAAAGAAAGCCTGGAAAGATGGATATCTAACTCCTGGGAACCAGGGGTGCAGGGGCGCCCCTCTCCCATGCTGCCACCAACCATGAAATAATTCCCATCAATAGGAGGTCTGGACCTCCTGTCGCTGATTAGAAATGAGACTCTGGGTCAGGCACTATGGCTCACGCCTATAATCCCAGCATTTTGGGAGGCCGAGGTGAGAGGATTGCCTGAGCCCATGGGCAACTTGGCGAGACCTCATCCCTACAATAAATCAAAAAATTAGCCACATGTGGTGGTGCACGCCTGTAGTTCCAGCTACTTGAAAGGCTGAGGTGGAAGGATTGCCTGATCCCAGCAGGCTGAGGCTGCAGTGAGGGTGAGCATGCCACTGCACTCCAGCCAGGGTGAGAGAGTGAGACTCTGACTCGAAAAAAAAAGAAAGAAAAGAAAAGAAATGGAGACTCTGGGCCAGGCACAGTGAATGGCTCATGCCTGTAATCCCAGCACTTTGGGAGGCCGAGGTGGGAATTGTTTGAGCCTAAGAGTTCAAAACTAGCCTGGGCAACATAGCAAGGCCTCATCTCTACAAAAGAGCAAAAAATGAGCCAGGTGTGGTGGCGCATGCCTGTAGTCCCAGCTACCTAGGAGGTGGAGGTGAAGCCTAGGAAGTCAAGGCTGCAGTGAGCTGTGATTATACCACTGTACTCCAGCCTGAGCAGCAGAGTGAGACCCCAACTCAAATAAATTAAAAAATGGAAGCCAAGCGTGTTAGCGCATGCCTGTAATTCCGGCTACTTGGAAGGCTGAGGCGGAAGGATCTCCGGAGCCCAGCAGGTCGAGGCTGCGGTGGCCGGGAGCGGCCACTGCACTCCAGTCTGGGCGACAGAGTGAGACTCCAACTCAAAAAAAAGAAAGTGTAAAAATAAGATTCTGAAGAGAAATGTCCTCAGAAGGGACCATTGCAGCTTAAATACTCCCCTAAAGCATGTATGACAGATGCCACTACCCTGTCCAGAGGATTTGTGTTAACAAGCAGCAGGATGGAACAGAGGGGCTGTCTGGGAAAGGAAATGGTTGTGGCAGAGGTGGAGGGAAGGTCAGCAAGAAGACACTGGGAGCGCTAAGCAAATTGTGCCTAAAAAAATAGCGTCTGCCAGGCACTGAGTGAGATCAGTACCATATTATTCCTCATTCTTTAGTCAGGGAAACTGAGTTCAGATGAATCAATTCACTTTCCAAGGTCACACAATTGACAAGAGATGAAGCCTGGACTCCAACCCAGGCCTTCTGATTCCAGATCTGAAGCTCTTGAGGGCAAGGTGTTTCTGCGAAACTTAGATGAATTCTTTGTCATCTATGAAGGCTCTGGGAGCTGTGCTGTGCTGTGTAGGTGTGGGGGTTGAGTCTGGGGCAGGGGAAGGGAAAGTAGGTCTGCTTAACAGTTTGCAGATGATGGTGGGGATGGGTAGGGACAATGAGCACAAGCACATCACAGGAGGAGTAACCAAAAACTAAGTGGAAGGGAGGGAGGCGATAACAGTCAGCCAGGTCAGAGCCGATCAGAGGGTATAGGTGCCAAGGGTGTAGAGAGTTCCTCATGCATCAGGAGATAAGGGCGGGGAAGGAAGGCAGAGTCTATCAACCAGCACCTGCCAAGAACTGACTCTACATCTAGCCTGAGCCTCACCTTGCTCTTCTATACAATGGGCAAGTGCTCTCACCTTGCAAGGACTAGAAGGAAGAAAATGATGTTTGCAAAAGTCCACAGCACTGTGGAAAAAGCCCCAAAGGAAGACATGAGACAGCAATCCTTATACTGAAGGAGATTGTGATCTCGCTTGGGGAGACACCCCATCCCAGGGGGACAATTAAGTGCCAAAAACACTGATGCAGTCAGTGGAGGAGACTGTGGAAGAGGACTTGAGGGAAGACACAGGACTAGATATGTCTTCCAAGGCCTTCTGCCCAGGGAAGGATGACATACCAATCAGCTGACTCATATCAGCCCCCCAAACATTTATTGAGTACCTACTCTATATCATACATAATCTATTTGATGAAGCTAATTAGTCCATCTGTCACAGAATTAGTGTACGAAGATTAAAAATTTTTTTTGAGTTGGAGTCTCACCCTGCCACCCAGGCTGGAGTACAGTGGTATGCTCACAGCCACCACAGCCTCGACCTGCTGGGCTCAGGCGATCCTTCTGCCTCAGCCTTCCGAGTAGCTGGAACTACAGGCATGTGCCGCCACACTGGCTAATTTTTTTTATTTCTTGTAGAAATGCAGTCTCGCCAAGTTGGCCAGGCTGGTCTCGAACCCCTGGGCTCTGGCAATCCTCTTGCCTCTGCCTCCCAAAGTGCTGGGATTACAGGCTTGAGCCACTGCACCCAGCACAAGGATTAAATTAAACAGTGTTTGCTGTAGGCTGAGTAATAACCCCTCCAAAGATGTCCCAACCTGTGAATATGTTATTCAACATGGCAAAAAGGGCTTTGCAGATATGGTTAAGTGAAGAATCCAGAGGTGGAGATATTCTCTCGGATTATCCAGGAGGGCCCAGTGTAATCACAAGGGTTCTTATGAGAGAGGGGCAGGAAGAACAGGATGAGGAGAGAGAAGATGTAAGGGTGGAAACAGGTCAGAGAGAAGAGGAGACCACACTGCTGACTTTGGAGATGGCAGAAGAGGCCATGAGCCAAGGGGGGTAGTTGGTCTCTCAAAGCTAGAAAAGGCAAATAAGTGGATTCCCACCAAGGGTTCCAGAAGGAACACAGGCCTGCCAACACCTTGGCTTCAGCATGGTGACACAGGTTTCAGACTGCTGTCAGAAAATATACGTGCGTTATTTTAAGTCAATCAGCTTGTGAGACTTTCAGCGGCAAGAGGAAATGAATACAGAGTATATAAAATGCCATGAACGGTGCCTGGCACATGGTAAGCCTTCGGTAAAGATGGTAGTAGTGGCAAAATTGGTTCTCACGGGTGTCAGACCTTAGGTACTAGGTCCTGGCCACAGAGAAAGAAAGAAGACCCTTAAGTCATTCAACAACCTTTCATCGAAAGCCTGGGGTCATAGTGGTCCGGAGCCTGGACTGAAGTCACACCGTCTGGATTCGATCCATCTCAGTTTCTTACTACCTGTGTGATCTTAGACAAGTTGCTTCCTCTCTTCTTGTTTCCTCATGTCTACCTCGCAGGGTTGTCGTGAGGATAAACGAGACTGTGCAGGAATAATCCGATGTTCCTGCTGGGAGGTGGGGATACATGATGGACAAGACAGTCTCAGCCCCTGAGGAGGAAGCAAGGCGGATGCAATCACAGGCCCCCAGGATGTCATGATGAGGAGAAAGTGGTGCTGGGCAGAGGCCTTGAAGGATGAGAATGAGTTAACCATGAGAAGGGAGGTGGGGAGGGCACTCTGGACAGAGCATCTGTGTGAGCAAAGACTGGGGGCTGGTTAACAGGTCCACCACCACCCTAGGCCTTCTGCAGAAGGAAGAAGACACGGGAAAGGGAAGCTTTGACTGGTCAGTGTGCCCAGTTCCAGTTGCAAGACTTTTCTGTAGCCTCCTCTTGTTCCCCCCCACCCCGGCCCCAACCCAGCCTGGCCCTGGCAGCATAGCAGTGGCATGAGAGCACTGGGTACCTGGGGGAAAGAGACACAGGAAGCAGGGAGTCCTGGCGAAGAAGGCAGGAGGCTGTCCAGTCTCCACCCCCTGCTGACTCTGTGCTTCTGTGCACGTCGCTTCTCTGCTCAGGGACTCTGTGGCCCTTGGTGTACAGTGGAGGGATTAAACTAAGGTTTCTGCCAGGCACAAAAGCCCTGACTATGATAGGCATCTTCTCCCAGGTCATGCTTGGGTCTGCTTGCCAGCTCCCTCCCCCAGCAGCACCTCCAGCTTCTGTGACCCTTAGACTTTCTCCAAACACCAGAACCACCTGCAGAAGGGAGATCAGATCCTTCCCAGTCGTGGCAGGCATGCAGGCGTGTGTGTGTGTGTGTGTGTGTGTGTGTGTGTGTGTGTGTGTGTGTGTGTGTGTGTGTGTGTGTGTGTGTGTGTGTT